GAGAGAGAGAGAGAGAGAGAGAGGAGAGAGAGAGAGAGAGAGAGGAAGCAGGTGAAGATCCACATAGACAGTACCCTGCTCAAGATCCAGGCCTGGGACCACTTTCAATTATTGAAAAACAATCTTTTTGGTGTTTACAAGACAGTCTTTTGTTCTTGCAGTTACCACATAGTCGTAGATGTGGTATGAGGGATTTACCTTATTTCAACATTGATTGCAACTATGACTTTTGGGGGTATATACACATGTGACACATGTGACTATTCTAATACAGACTTACTTTATTATTGAATGTTTATCATGAAAATTTTGGCCATTCACAAGAGGGAGAACAACAGGTCATACTTTCAAATCTCATTATAGCATGCACCATGGATTATCAATTCTACTGGTGTCTACTACATTTCAGAAAGTAGATGTGCCAGATGCCCAAATAATTTTAACTCGGAATAGCTATTCTTGGGGATCAAATTCAGGTCATTAGGCAAGCACCCTTACCTGCTGAGGCATCTCACCGGCCTGAAAGGCTACTGTCCTTGAATGATTTTGAATATGTTCAGAATTTGGGAGGCATTCCAAGCCTTATAAGGTAATGTGAAAATAAAAAATAGCTGGCTGTTTCAGTTTCACTCAATTTAATGTCAATTTTTAGAAATATTTATTGAACATTCACTTATATGCCAGCCGCCATGCTCCTCAATGGAGATTCAGGATAAATCCAACATGGCCCCTATGCTCCAAAGACTTATAGGCCAATAAGTCTGTTGACCTATGGACAAGTTCAATACAAAGAGGTGTAAGGTTAAATACACTGATATAAGGGAAATAGTATGAAAGATATAGTGATTATTTCTCTTTGGAGAGTGTGTGAAGGATGAGGTTGAGGAATTTAATGGAAGATAGTCCAGTAAGAAAAAAGGGTAGTCCAGAAAGCAGAGAACAGGGGGATTCAGAAAGCTATGAGAAGTTGAGCAAAAACAGTATTAAGTGGAGGGGAAGAGGCCAGATCACCAAAGGCCATGTAGGCCAGTGGAAAATTCTTGGGTTTGATCCTATCAACATTAGCAAACCATCAAAGACTTAAAGAAGGGTATAATGAATTAATAGCTTAAAAGTTTAGTATATGGAAAAGGGATTTAAATTGGCTTCTTCTCTAACAATTTTTACCTTTGTCTATCAGTTCAATTAAATGCAAACAGAAAAATAGAAACTTGTATTATGTCAACCATAAATTGTCAATAGTACCAGCAACACTTTTGAGAAACAAAAGATATCTGTGATGGGATAAGAACTTCTACCCAGGGTTGAGCACTGCCACTCTGGGGACATCTGTCTTGTACTGGAAGAGTCGATAGCACACTGGTTATCATATAGTGCCTGGGGTTCATGTTCCTCCTGATGCCCATTTCATTCTTCTTTGTAATAACAGAATAGCAATAGTATTACTAATAATACTAGTATCAGTAATGGTATTTTGCTTCAGCACTTTCATGTATATATTAAAATCTGACTCACCCCTACTGAGGCAGTTAAGTTACGTAGCAGCTATGGGGCTCTGAAAAGTCAAGCAACCCAACTCAGGGTCACAAAGCAAAAGCTGAATTTGAGCCAGCTTCATTCAACTCTAAATTCACTATAGCACTGCTCATTAGGAAGCAGATCTCAGCCATCATCGTTTTCTGCAGAATTATACCCAAGAAATATAAGCAGAGATTAGCTGACTGATGGTTTTTGACCCTATGTGACAACTGACTCTCAGAGATGACCTTATTCTGCAAAGCAGAGCACAGGTATCTGCAGGTTTCTCTGGGTGATTACTTTCTCTCTCTCTCTGTCTCTCTCTGTACACACACACACACACACACACACACACACACACACACACTTCTTTGTGATTCTACCAAGGATTTACAAAATTTACTCCCAAGATGCTAAAAACATGCGAGTGATAGGATGCATCTTAAAATGGTCAAACATTATTACTTTTTCAAGAAGGGCTATTTAAGATCATTAACTACATTTGATTATTAGATAACACTGAAACATACTTTTCAATTGTAGTGGGAAATGAGTCAGCCATGACACACTGACTGATAACTTTGGGTGAAGTAATCATAATTATTAGTAAAATAATGATAGCTAATATGACGTACTCATGTCAGATAGTGTGCTAAGGACTTTATGTGTCTGAAATCCTCACAGTAATGGTATAGAGTAGGTACCCGTAATACAAAGTAAGGAGAATGAACCTTGGACACAGTGAATGAAGTATGGAGAGGCAAGGCTGGGAGCTGAGCGTCTCCTTAACTTCAGAGCCTGTAGTTTTGAATGGTGTGTATATAGAATTTTTGGGAGGCTGGCATGATGGCTCAGTGGATAAAGATTTGCTGCCTGATGATGCAACCCTGATGACACGAGTTCAATCCCTGGAACCTACATAATGGTGGAAGAAGAGAACTGACTCCACAAACACTGTTCTTTGACCTCCACACATGTACCACCTCCCCTCCCACAATACTAGTAATAAATAAATAAAATTAAAAAAAATCTTTGCAATCTTAAGCCATTTCTGCAGGGTTATGCTTTAAGACCAAAAAAAAAAAAAAAAAAAAAAAAAAAAAAAAAAGCGTAGACTCAATATGGCTCCTGATGGCATGAAACAAACAGAAGTAAGTCACCATGTGACGTGGCTAATACATTTTTCTAAAGCCAAGGTTTTGCAAATATCAGTGGTAAAGGGGGTACACTCGAGTTTAAACCATGACAGCAATAAACATTGAAAGCTACCTTCTTTAAGGGAGAGACTCTAGATAGGCTGACTAGACTCCAGTGGGCATCCAGATACACAAACTCGACTCGATTGGCCTTAACATATATGACAGAATGCATGAAATCCAGTGGGGGGAAACCATAGGGGAGTGAGGATGGGGGAGAGGGTATATAGATAAGATGCTTTGTATGAAGTGCACAAAAAAGTCAAGAAACATATACATTAAAAAAGAAATTCAAATAAACATGTTATTTCTTCTTGGATCTATAATTTCTTCTCCTTTCTCTTTTCTCAGTAAATACTTTGTAGATGAAAAAAAGCCAAAGAAGAGGTAGGTGAGAACTTCTAGCCAAAGACGTGACCCCTCTATGAAGCGTCAAGGTCAAGTCAGAGTTTCTAGCATCCTTGAAAGGATCTGGCCCATAAAGCTTTCCAACTGCAACACCTGGAGAACTCAAGTCGTAAAGTGATGGCTCTTGTCCCCTAAAAACCCATTCACATCTCTAATGCGAGCTATTGTGTGAACACCTGCCAATGACTCTAGTGGAAAGAGAAAAGTGTCAAGTTTGGACACTGACATTCAGCCACATGCAAGTAAACAAGAAACCTGCAACAGAAACAACAGCAATGCCAACGTACCTCTCTCAGAAACGGGATTCATTGAGAAGGCAAAACTCAAGTGCACTTCTCATTGTATTCTTAATACAAAAAGTTATGAACAGGTTTTACTGTAAGTTACAGTGATCTCACGGTTACTGACCCTGACCTCAGTCCCCAGGATACTGCATAACTCAATTTCACAGAAAAATAGAAGCTCAGCTTTGTGAGGAAGGTTAGGGACCACTGAACTAATCCTCACCTGTCCACCTCTCATACATCCTCACAAGTAATATGAGCTGAGTGGCTATACCTCAGCCAAGGAAACTCCCAGACAGTAATCGGTCTTCCGAGGCAAACAATGGCCTAGCTAAACCTCTCCTTAGGAGAGGTTTCAATTTTTTTCTTTGAAAAATTTTTTAGGGGCTGGAGAGGTGGCTCAGCATATAAGAACACTGTCCTTGCAGAAGACCTGGGTTCAAATCACAGCACCCACATGGCAGCTAACAACTGTCCATAACTCCAGTTCCAGGGGATCCAACAGCCTCTTCTGTCCTCCATGGGCACTGCACGACACGGGGGCACTTACATGCAGGCATAACACTCATACACATAAAAATAAAAAAAAATTTAAATTATG